GGGGCGGAGGCCATAAGGTGGCAGGTGGGATACCTCAAAACTCCTTTCCCAGAAGCGTTTGGGGTCTTCGCACCCTGACACTCCCTCCTGCTTTGAGGAAGAACTCAGTAGTTCCTGCTGCTACTGCCTATCTTCTAAAGGGGCTCCTCACCTGCTCTTCTCCCCTCAACCTCTAGGGCAGTGTTTCTCAACCTTGACAACTTAAAGACTTTTGGACTCCACCCCCCAAAATCCCCCAGCCAGCATGGGGAAGCATGCTGCCTGGGGAATTCTAGGAATTGAAGTCCAAACGTCTTAAAGTTGCCAAGGTTGAGAAACACTGCCCTAGAGGTTGAGGGGAGAAGAGCAGGTGAGGAGCCCCTTTAGAAGATAGGCAGTAGCAGCAGGAACTACTGAGTTCTTCCTCAAAGCAGGAGGGAGTGTCAGGGTGCGAAGACCCCAAACGCTTCTGGGAAAGGAGTTTTGAGGTATCCCACCTGCCACCTTATGGCCTCCGCCCCGTTCGCTACAGAGACTTTATTTCGTTTTCATCCCAGGGCCTGAGGCATTGATCTCTTCACCCATATGCAAGAATCTCCAGATTTAAGATGCAGCCTGTTCTCTTTTTTATCCCTGCTAGTTTGTCCTGAAGAACTATGGAGAGAATCCGGAGGATTACAATGATGAGTTGAAGAAGCTTGAACAGCTCAGGCAGGTGAGGGGCGTCTCTTGCTCTATGGGGGGTGGGGGGAGGGTGCCCCGAAGGACATGGCACCCCTGAGTTTGGTCCAGAAGAGCCATCCAAGCGGCCCTGTGTCCGAAGCAAAAGAAAGGCATGGAAGAGGGGAAAGGGTCACGAGCTGTTGCAGGGAAGGGATCCCAGCATGAGCCTGGAACTGCAAAGCTCTCTGGGCAACCAGTGTTTGCCACAGAAAATGTGTCTTGGCGAGCTGTGTTTCCAAGGCAGGGGTAGCGTGCTTCCTCAACGTTGGCTGGGCAGGGTGTGCTCCTTCTCAAAGAGAACTCACGTGGTGATCAGCAGCATCAGCTCCTCTTTGCCAGGCACCTTCGCCAGCTTAGTGTCCTCGGGAAGCGTCTTCTCGGTTACTGCGCAAGTGTCGTTCTTTCCCCAGAATGCCGTGAATGTGCCCAGGGACTTTGAGGGGTGCAGCATTTTGCGCAAATACTTGGGGCAGCTTCACTACCTGCAGAGTCGCATTCCGATGGGGGTCGAGCAGGAGGCAGCCGTGCCCATCACCTGGTAAGAGAGCTGTCAGGGGAGGTGTTGGGGAGCAGGAAGACGCCCCCCCCACTTGTTACTCTCCCCCCAAGCCCCTGGAGTGATCTCAAGGCTAGTGGGTTGGGCCAAGGTGGATGGGGGCTTTCAGCACGAGTCAGAGAAGATGGTGCTGGTCCTGCTGCTGCGCCCATTGCATGGAGCGTTTAGATTTTCTCCCACATACGGGAGATGCTTTGTGTGTGCGCCCTACAGAGACATTTGAGCAGGGTGACCTTTTTATGGACGTGGACGGGGGGAACCAAAGAGCAGATTTCCTGGTTCAACATCCAGGAATTCATGGGCACAATAACGGAAAATGGACAACCCGGGGATTGTGCTGGGTAGATCCCAGGGGACTTAAAAGTGTATCCGAGTACCTGCCCTGGGTCAAATGGGACGTCTCCTGGGTTTAGAGCTGCTGCAGCGGTGCGAGGCAGGCTGTTGGGAATGCTTTCCTGGGAACGCAGACAGTCAGCCTTCCTCTTTTTTCAGGACAGAGATCTTCTCCGGCAAGGCTGTTACTCACGAGGACATCAAGTATGAGCAGGCCTGTATCCTCTACAACCTGGGTAAGGATGTTTCAGCTGTTGGCGACTGTTTCCAAGTGGCGAGGTGGGCCAGGAGGGCCTTCTCCATCTCTGGCCCTCAAGACTTAGGGCCCACAGAGAGGTTTCTTACCCGTGTTGCCATTCCTTGTTGTCCCCCAACCACAACTCATGGAAACCTTTTTGCCTGGCATGATGTTATGGGCAGGGCAGGCAAGGCTGGTGCACGGCCTTCCCTCGGCACAACACGTCCCACTACCCTGCCTCAAATAGATATGCTTTGGTCTGTATCCGCCAAATAGGAACAAACATTCACGTTGACTTTGGGTGTGAATCATTGAAACTAGTTGTTCTGTGCGAAGAACAGCTTGTGCGTGAGCCGTTTTGCACCTCGCTTCTCTGCGGCCCAGTGTTTCCATGTCACAGTGTCTGCACTGGATTTGTGTAACTTCCTGCATACTGTGAAAGTGGGAATTCAGCTCGATAAAGAGTAGAGCTGCCAGATCTGGACTGCAAACATACGGATGACCACTAGAGGGCAGCAAAGAGCTACAGAAAATGCTTGCTGTGCCGGACAGATTTTTGCAGCCCAGATCCGGTAGCCGTAGCAGACGTGAGTTTGCAATGTGCAGGAAGTATTGGGTGGAATTTCACAATCTGCAGAAGCCTGAATGAGGTTCCCGGTAGAGGGCGTGGGAGGATAAATTTGCACAATTTACATGGGGTGCAAAATCCAGCTTTTCTTGACCTGGTTTGGCTTACTGTAGAATAATAATAAAAGAGCCAGTTTGGCGTGGTGGTGAAGGTGCTGGCCCAGAAACCTGGAGATGGTGACTCGTAGTCTTCCCTTAGGCAGGAAGGCCGGCCGGGTGACTTCAGGCCAGTCCCTCTCTCTCAGCCCAACCCACCTCACAGGGTGGTCGTTGTGGGGAAAACAGGAGGCAGGAGGATTAGGGATGTTTGAGTTGACCAAATATAAAAAAAAGATGGAATAAAAATATAGTAGTAATAATGTGTGTATAGTAGCAGACACCCACAAAGACAGTCATAGGTGATCCAAACAGACTGAAAGACCTCTGGGCTTTGGGGCAAGTAGATTTGATTGGCTACCATGGTGAGCTGATGGATAAGAACTTGCGCCATCAGCATGGGCTTCTCACGGCTATTCTGTGCACCGAAGCCCTCTAGGCTATTGCGCTGCACGCTCTGCATAAAGAGTATCCCAGGTTCAACCTGCAGTGTCCCGGGTTAAGGAGGCTCTTGTCGTTAGGTGACCTGCCTAGAACAGAAGGAAATCCTCAATTGGTAATTCCAGCCAGTGCAACAGAGCAGCTCCCTGGGTTTCTTCCCAGCCACAGTGCTGGAGGGGGGCTCCAGCTCACGCTTTCTCTTGTCCTCCCTCCCAGGTGCCTTGCACTCCATGCTTGGGGCCATGGACAAGCGAGTCTCAGAGGAGGTAAGGCATTTACTTCGGTGTCTTCCTTAGGCCAGGTGCTTGTGCAGGAGGAGCAGTCATTAAAAAACCAGCAGGCAGAAGCCATTCAGCTTTCTGCCCACCTGGGAACCAAGAAGCAGGGTGAGGAGAGGAGGGGCCGAGAAGGGTAGTGTGCAAATGGTTTGGCATTTCGACCTTGCTCCAAGGGAACTGTAGTATCAGCTGTTGTTTTGGAAGGCCCCGTGTGACATGCTACAGTTGCTTTCCTGGGGAGGCATCTTCTGAAGAGCGAAACCCTGATGAATTTCTCTGTGGCCCCCTGTGTCTTGGCTGTGGCTTTTTTTATTGCTCAGTCTTGTCTCCAGGTTTCATGGTCTTCTGGCCCTTCCAGAAGATGCCCCGGGTTGCTGCAGTCCGATCCAGGGAACAGAATCAAGCCCAAGCTGGCTCAGTAGCTCATGGTATGAGCCGCATTCAGCTCTTGGAGTGCCAGCTTGTAGGGAAGACCCTCTTCTTACCAGGCTGGGATTCTTGCTCTCTGTGCATGAACTCCAGCCTGGTAGCAAGAGGTCTTCCCTACAAGCTGGCATGCTGCCCGTGCTGTGAGCTTTCCCCTTGAGTCCTAGGGCATCTGAGGAGCGTCTTCATTATCTGTAGAGTCCTACTTGAAGGTATAACTTCTCCCAAATGCGTCTTGTTTCCTTTAGGGCATGAAGGTCTCCTGTACCCATTTCCAGTGTGCGGCAGGCGCGTTCACTTACCTTCGGGACCACTTCCCTCATTCCTACAGCGTGGACATGACTCACCAAATCCTGAATCTGAATATCAACCTCATGCTGGTAAGAAGAGTGAGGAAGGGGAGGAATGTCAGGGCCTCAGAAAGTTCTGCAGTTCAGAGCAGCGCACTTAAGAAACGCATTGACGATCCTAGACTCAGCCCCTGCCCTTTCCCTTATAGAGGACTAGGCTGCAGACCATGGTGAAGAAATTCTCCTGTCAAAGCCCTGGTAACCCTGAGTAGGCAATCCAGTTGATCTGGATGGCAGCTTCCACAGTCTAGATGGGATACTGACCAACTCACTGAAGTTTTAAGCCTGTAAAACGTACTGTAAATAAGAAACAGAACTATACATCTCCTAAGGAAAATAGAAGTTTTTAACGATAATCAGATTGGAAGCCAGAATCTTTCATAAAGTGATTTGTGGGACCTAAGACACAAAAGCTTTGCGAACATCTGGACCAGAGTCAGCTTCTGTCCTTGGGATAGTCATTCTTGGGACAGATGTTGTAAGGCCGATATTTTAGGGCTGCCAGTCTTTGTGATGGGATTTGCATGCTTGTCTCTCAAAATCTGGAGAATGTTCTGAAAGCCACAACAGTATTTATACTGGTCTATAGCCGTAATAAACCTTGATCAGGGATTATCCATTCCTAATATAGACCCACATATCCGGTGCTGTATGAGTTGAATGACGGTATGCTAGATGATGCTAGAAGGCTAAGCAGAAAAGCAAACTCCCTTTGGACTGCAGTGGGCAAAACTTGGAAGATGGAGATGGTTTGTCTGCCAGATACTGGAGATCAAACAGTGTCTTAAAGAACTGAAGAGAGGCATAATTTGAAGAACATTTGGATAGTCAGGGCAACGGTGGTCTCAGTTGACCCAGGGCTGTATTCATTGTCGTGGTCAGGATGGGCAGCCTTTTGGATGAGTAATGTCAGACCAGCTCCCCTCGTGATAGAATGGTCCGTGCAGCCCTGGAGCTGAGGACCATTTCTTAGCTTCTGTTTATCACTCGGGGGCTTTGGGCGGCAGGGGATCAGCTTTGACAACCTGCAGCACCTCTGACTTCCCCTGAGTCAGGTGCCCCCAACATAGCCTTTCTTGTTTTCCATCAAGGGCCAAGCTCAGGAGTGTCTCCTGGAAAAGTCCATGCTGGACAACCGGAAGAGCTTCCTCGTGGCCAGGATCAGTGCCCAGGTGAGTAGTTGGGGAGCCTTATAGCTGGCTGCTCAGGCCTGGACACGGAGGAAGAAACTATCCCCTGGGCCTGACCCAGATTCGTAGTTGGGGGCCCCTCCCCCTCTAAAGCTGTTAGGTAGGGCAGACTGACTGTGCCCTTCAGCTGCCTTTGCTGAAGCTGGCCTCTTGGCCCTTCTCCCAGCCAACAAGGATTTAGGGACACTCTTCTCTCCTCCCAAGGTGGTGGATTACTACAAAGAGGCATGCCGAGCTTTGGAGAACTCAGACACAGCCTCCCTGCTGGGAAAAATCCAGAAGGACTGGAAGAAACTGGTGCAGATGAAGATCTATTACTTCGCTGCTGTGGCCCACGTGAGTGTTCTGGAGGGGAGTAATTGCTTCCCCCCCATCCCTCTTGGACTGAGGCTCCCTGTTGGCAGTGTCACCACTGCTGTCCTCAGCCAACTTTGTACTCTTCTAGCATCTAAGGCAGTGTTTCTTGATCTAACGCCAGCTGGGGAAATTCTGCGAGTTGGAGTCTACACATCTTAGAGTTGCCAAGGCTGAAAAATTCTGATCTAAGGCATTGTGCTTTTCTTCTGAATGCTTCCTGCATCTCAGCCCAGCTCTTTCTTTGCACTTTTGTAGACAATGAATCCGTAACATATGCTTTGGACTGATTATCAGTATAGATGGGTATGAAACTAGGTATTTTTTTAACAGAGAGAGAAAGGAACAGCAGTGACAAAAGATCCTCTAGCCCCTTAATCTCAGGCACTAATGAGATTTAATTGATAGAGTTGGAAGGGAATTAATTTTGCTGTCATTGCCTATATTTTTCTTGTCTGCAACCCGTAGTAATGCTTAGTGAAGATAATTGCTTCAGAGAGAGTGGTGTATGTGGCTGAGATTCAGCTTCTGCCCCAGAAACAGAGGCTTTCAGGTGCTTAGAGATGTTGGAACTCATAAGGTATTGCTGCGGACTGCATCAACATCTTCTGGATGTACTTAAGCTGTGTTCGTTCTCTTTCTCTCTCTCTCTTTCTCTCACAGTTGCACATGGGAAAACAGGCAGAGGAGCAGCAGAAGTACGGGGAGAGGGTAAGTTGGCTGGTACTTCACAAAGATCTGCTGTCTGGGATGGACGAGTCTCTGGACTTTTGACTGGCAGCCACAGAGGGCTGGTCTTTCAACCCTTTGAGGATTGTGACGTCTAACATGGAACTGATTAGGAAGACAGTGTCAACCGTGGCATCTGTAGTAAAAATGGAACCTGTAATACAGAAGCATTAAGGCAGCCTTCCTCCACACGTGAGCCCAGCCTTTGTGTAGGTCTGCCTTTCCCAACCTGGTGTCCTCCAAGTGGGTTGGGACTACAGTTCAGAGAAACGCCCATCAGCCCGGCCATCAGTGTGGGCTAGGAATTCCAGCAGCTGGAAGGGGCCAGTGGGGAGGGCTGATGTGGGGGCTCAGGTGGAGATGTCAAGCTTTCCATCTCACAGAAAGCAAGCATGGCTGTGGGAAGTAGTTCCGTAGTGAAGTTTTTAATCCAGATACTTGTTCGTCAAAGCTGTGTCCCTCCTATGCCAGAAGCAGCCCAGTTGTCAGTTGGTGGATGCAGAGGCAGTGGAACTGCTGGCTGAGAAACTTCTGTAAATTAACCAATGATCCCATCTTAGCCTGTTGGTTCTACAGTATTGGTGTAAGGAGGCTTCATGCATCTGCAAAGCTCTAAGGGAGTAGGAATAACCAGTGTTGCTTGAATTGCAGGTTATCACAGCCTGAGCTGCTTTTGCTTCGCTGTTTTACCCAGGTGGCAAGCGCAGAGTTACCATTGTTGCAAATATACCAGTCATCCGTGTTAGAAGTAAAGCAAGTCGCTTGCTCAGCTGAAGCCATTTTTTTGTTGTTCATGGATCCTCTCACCAGCCTTGCTCCCTGCCTCTGCCACTGTGAGAGAAGTGAGGACCTTAAGGTGCATTCCAGCCATCCTCAACTCTATACCCCAACCTGGCTATTGGGGAGAATTCTGGCAATGGAAGTTCATATGTCTGGAGGGCAGTTAAGATGGAGAAGGTTGTTGCAATCTGTCATGATCTTGAAGGTCCTCATTCGGTCCTAGCGCGCACCAGAGTGACCCAAGATGGAGAGCAGAGCTTTGCCCAATTTGGAAGGACTATTAAGACTGGAGAAGGCAGGTCCTTTCTTCACCTCTCTGCTTTCTAAAGAAAGCAAGGGCATTTATCTCCCCCACAGCCCATCACTCACTCCTTCGGAAGCCCTCAGAGATTTAATCCTGGATCAAGTCAACTGGTCTTGCCAGTTGGTCCTACTTGTTCCTCTTCCAGTACAGCGACTGCTTCTCAGTGGTTTTTTTAGGCTTAATCTGGGGGAACCCAAGACTTGTGTTGGGGGCCGCTGGAAAGGTTTGTGTTCATTGCTGCATGGCGAAGGAGAAGCACTAGCTCTCTTCTTCAGACCTGTGGAAAAAGTGCTTCAGTGGTCACAGCGTCATGGTTTGACCCTCCCTGTTCAGCAGGTCTCTGAGCAATTGCCTAAACCCTTCTCATGTGAAGCCAAACTGGTTTGAAAGCAGCCTTTGATGGATTGAATCTCTGCTCCCTTTGCAGGTCATCTATTTCCAGAGTGCCCTGGATAAGCTCAACGAAGCCATTAAGTTGGCCAAGGTAGGGCTCTTCCTCCCCACCCCACCCCACCCCACCCCACCCCACCCCTCCCTTCCAGTTTCTTGTTTTATTTACTATGAAAATTTGCAGTTCAAAATCAGGCTTCTGTGGCCACAACATCTAAAGTCTGCTCCGTAGGAAGGCTGGACAGAACAACTGGATGTTTGATGAATTGATCTGGAAAATTAGCATCAAATCTCAAAGTTTTTCTTTGTGGTTGCCCAGAGATAAGAAACTGCTTTTTCTCTGTTGCTGCCCTCCAGAAACTGATCCTGAGAGGTAGACTGTCTTGGAATCTGAAGTTCTAACTTAACAATATAACTAGCAGCTATTGAGAGATTTTTCTTTTTTTTAATTTATCTAACTCCTTTTTTTAAGCTACCTCTATTGATGGATGTGTCAAGTTCCCTAAGATAGGAAGTCATGCTATGCCCTGAACCAATTTTAGCGGTTGATCCCTGCATTCTAGGATTTGCAGACAAGAAAAATATGCCAACATTTTCCTTGGGTCCTCTTGTGACAATCTCCCTCCAACTGCGCTGGCCATCTCTTCTCAAGGGTTACTGTTCTGTAAAATGCAGAATTCAAAATATTTTAAACTTGCTGTTTCCTGCAGGGCCAGCCAGAAACGGTGCAGGAAGCGCTGAGATTCACCATGGATGTCATTGGAGGAAAGTAAGTTGGTGCTGTGTCACCACTTTTTTGTAGTTCTTCCCCCCACCCCCCAATCTTTCTTCTAAGTCAGGTAGCTCTCACTTGTGCAAAGGAAGAGTGACTGTAGATACAGCATCATTTCTTGCTTCCAGAGTTCAGGGGCTTTTCCCTAATATTTCATTGGCAAGAACAGGAATGGGAAAAGAGGGAAACTGGGATATTAACACCCCCCCCCCCCCCCAGGAATTGTGACAGTGCAAAATCAAAGTTTGAAAACAGCAGAAGTCTGGAGGTTCTGCTCTGCTGTCTACTTCTGCCAACGCTTTGCATCCCTTTATTTTGCTTCCTGGTTGCACGCTGCATAGATGGATTCCTGATCCATCTTGTAAAGCTGGGCCTTAGGAAGGAAGAAGTAGCTGGCCAAGCCGATCCTTTCCTTCTGCCCGCCAACCTCGCACAGCGAGGGCCCGGTTCTGTGAAAGAACGCTTGCTGTCAAAAAGAGGCAGCAGCGATCAGGGCGGCTGGTCTGAATCGCGTGTTCACTTGGAGCCCAAGAGCAGGGAGTCACCGGCTGATCTGTGCTGGGCTTTCTGAGTACCTCTTCCTCCTTAGGTACAATTCTGCCAAGAAGGACAACGACTTTATCTACCACGAAGCCGTCCCTGCTCTGGATACTTTGCAGTCGATTAAAGGTGAAGGAGGAGAGTGCCGGGTGTCTTGGGGGACTTTGGAAAGGGGCTCTTTAGTTCAGCGAATTGAACTGAGCAAACGCAACAGGTCTGTGGCCAGGTTCAGCCTAGATCACAGCAGCGTCGCCTCTCCCTCACTTGAGGCTTTGCCCTCGGTAAGGAGCCATCTTCAAGTTCACTCTGTACGGGAGTCTGGCCAAGCGAGGGCCCTCTAGGTGCTCCAGGGCTGCTGCACCCTGCTCTAGGTCAGCGGTTCTGGATGGAATAGCTGGGGAGAAATCAGCTCACTTGACCTTTTAATGCACATTTACCCAGTTTGCTGTTTCCTGAACAATGCCTCAGCTGAAGATCAGTTATTTGTTGGTTTCCACCCCAAATGTTATGATAGAGTTTGCAGTGCAAAAAATAAAATCACAAGACACATAAAATAAGAAAGAAGTATTTAGAAATGAAATAGAAATGATTTTCTTTTTGCAGAGCTTCTTTAAAAAAATGCACACACAGAGACTGATACTGAATCCACTAGGAGTTAAAGTTAGAAAATAGGCCTTGTGTGAATTTGAGTCAGATAGATTTGCCACTTTTCAGAACTGGTCATAAATCCCTAGAACTGTTAGAGGCTTGCATATTTTTTTTTCCTGTGAAAACAGGTTACTCTGAGACCTGCAGAAGCTCCACATTCATTTTTAGGTGTAATTCACGGCTGACTTGCAGGCCGGCACACTTGTCCAGGGCACTCTTGGGGGCCTGTGGGTGTCTCTCTTATTGCCGCCTTTTCCCCTCAGGTGCCCCTCTGGTGAAGGCTCTCCCAGTCAACCCCACGGATCCGGCTGTGACGGGCCCGGATATTTTTGCCAAACTGGTCCCAATGGCTGCCCACGAGGCCTCATCGCTCTACAGGTGGGAAGGCAGAACTTTTGCTCAGGCTGGTGGGCATTTTGGGGGGTGTCTTTGGCCTGTCAGTTGCTTGAAAGGAGATAGGAAAGGGGATTCTGCTGCAGTATGGGATAAACAGAAGCAGTAGGATTAAGCAGGGGGAATTGGACTATTTTGTGGTAAGGCCCATGTTTGAGAAGCCCTAATAGAAGTGTGGCTCAGCTCTGGTTAAGATTTGGTGAGAAGGAAGCCTTTGAGGACAGTCCCTTGCTCCTGCAACACAAGAGGTCGGAGCCATCTCTGAACCTGGAGAGTTTGCTCCCCCTTAAGCCTGTTCTCAGCACTGAAGGCTTCTTCTGCTGTCTTTGTTTTTCTCAGTGAAGAGAAAGCTAAGCTGCTGAGAGAAGTGATGGCCAAGATTGATGCCAAGAATGAGATCCTGGAGTATGTATGTTTCTAATACTGGTTGGGCTGGGGAGGGCTGAGATGTTAAATAGCCCATGCTGAAAGTGGGGAAGGAAGAGGAGCGGTCTCTGTAGGGTCCCATGGTTACACCCTGGAGATGAAGAGCTCATGGATGCCTGAAGCTTTGGTGAGACCTGCCTGTTCCCTAGTGTTTTCAGGGCTGTTTGCCTGCTTTACCTGGGACTTAAACTCTCTCTGGTATGAATGAGCCAGAGGCCTTGGGCAGAATGAGCTGAGGCACCTGCATCTTCAGTGCACCCAGACTCAACTGGGAAGGTTGGTCTGTTGCCCTCTCTGGTCCTCCCTTTGGCCACAGAAGCTCCTTTAAGATCGTTCTCAGGAAGAATTGTACCCTGCCTTAATGATTCAAACTGAGTTAGAACTGGTTGGTGGCGGTATGGGCCTTCCTACTCCAAGGTCCAGGACTGCTGTGTGCCTGTGCCAGTCTCATCCCATGGCGAAGAAGCCATTGCAGATAGAATTCCCATGGAATGCCAGACATTCTGCTTTCCCACAAAATCAGTTCGTCTCTTCAGGCATCAAGTGTAGAAAAATCGGCTTGCGTCTATGTGAACATCCTACTAGATGTGTTGGGCAAGTCCAACAAGTTGGGGAAGGTTTGAAGCTGGCATTTCCCGACTCGAAGCAAAACGGTTCCTGAGAGTATCTGAGAGGCTTTACTCCCTGGGATGGGATGTACAAACGATGCCAAGCCTTTCACCATCTCTTTGTAGACAGTTCATGGACTCTCTCCAGCTGGACCCTGAAACAGTCGACAACCTGGACATGTACAATCACATTCCACCCCTCTTGATGGAGAAATGCGCAGCCCTTAGTGTGCGCCCAGAGACAGTGAAAAACCTTGTCCAGTCCATGCAAGGTAAGTAACTAGTTTAAGATTCCTGCCCTGGGGTCCGGGTGGAAGAGTGCAGTTTTCAGTCTGCCATCCCAAAGGTCAAGCTAAATAGTTGGGTTCTGGGTGTTCTTGGAGCTTGGTGGTTTTCCTGAAGCTTTGCAGTGCTATTGATACTTCCTAGGCTAGTAAGGAAACATCTGCAAGCGAAAAATAAGCTCAGAGAACACGGAGAACCCGCCTGTTCAGCCCTGAGCTACATATATTCTCTACTGTTGACAAGCTAAATTCTCAAGAGAGCCAGCCAGACCTATGATTATTCAGAAACCCAGCCTTATTTCACTTTTGGCACCTTCCACTAATTTGCTTCTCTCCTCTCCTTCCCCAGTACTTTCTGGAGTTTTTACAGACGTGGAAGCCTCTCTGAAGGAGATCAAAGACCTGCTAGACGAAGATGAGTCTCAGGAGCAGAAACTGCAAGAGATGTTGGGGAAGCTGCCCCCGCAGCAGGAGTGCCCGCTCTCCTCTGCTGCTGGGGTAGCGGAAGTGGCCAAGGAGTGGGCCAAGTACATGGAGGTGCACGAGAAGGCGAGCTTCACCAACACCGAACTGCACAAGGCCATGAACCTGCACATCGTCAACCTGAGGCTGCTCAGCGGGCCCTTGGAGCAGGTCAAGGCAGCCTTGCCCACACCCAGCCTATCTGAAGGTGATGTGCAGCCCTGCTGCCCCTTTGCTTCTGTGCGGCAGAGTCCCCAACCCGTCTAAACTGGGAGAAAGCCCCCAGTTGCAATTCTGCTGGGTTTTCCTCTCAAGTATTAATAGCAGGTCTGCCTAGGGCCACAATTCAAGGGCACTGGGGGTATAATTTAGCATGGGGGATTCTTAACCTTCCAAGGGTTGGAGTGACAGTTGAGAACCTAAATGTGTTCTTCCCTGAAGCAGCTGGGGAGGGGGCTTTCTACTGATTAGCAAACGCTGAATGAATTATTTGACATAATAGGAAAAATGTGGAAAATTTAACCCGCCAAAGAATGACTTATGTGGATGACAGGAGGAATCATCTCTTGGTTGAAGAAGCTTGTCTTCTGTGTTTTCTTGGTTTTTAAGATTTAATTCAGCTTCACTCTTGGACTGGGTCTTGGTAGACAGCGTCCCCGTGTCTTCCCTGCCCAGGGCTTCCACCTCTCCTGGCAGTTGCATACTCAGGACTAGCAAGAGAGAAATGGGTGGCTCTGAGGGCATTGACACCACCTGACTTGAGTCTCACCTCCAGATGACAAGCAAGGGATGCAGAACCTGAAGCGCATGTTGGCCAAGGTGCAGGAAATGAGAGACCAGCGGGTGTCCCTGGAGCAGCAGCTGCGCGAGATGATCCAGAAGGACGACCTCACCACCTCTCTGGTGACCACAGACCAGTCCGAGATGAAGGTGAGAAGCCAGGCTGCAAGAGGGGCTTGTCGGGACGCAGGATGGGGCTGGTGAGCCTTCCCTTGCCTGTCCCTCAGGCCGTTGAGGGTCAGCGACTGAGACCATAAATGCCTTGCCCGATTCTGCTGCATTGTCACAAACAGCCTTGGGATGAGTACTTGGTTTTTCCTGTTAGATGATGTTTGTCTCATGCTGCCGCTTGCTCAGACAAAAGGCAGAAAGGCAACCTTCTGGGTTAGCCCTCTCTGTGCAGATGTAGCTGCCCCTGGCCAGATTTTTCATGTCCCATGCTTAGAGAGCAGAGAAAGAGAACCAGTATTAAACAGCTAAGGTAGCATGGCTGTCAGAGCACCATCACTGTCATAACGTCCTCCCCATGCAAGGAAATCAGTTCTCAGAAGCTCCATGCTTGAAAGGTTGTTGAAACATCCTACAGACCCCCAGGACAGAGCTCTCTGAGATAATGCCATCCAGCTGTGCTCTCCAAAACACCTGGAGAACAGCAGATTAGAGGAGGTTAACTCAACAATTTCATTTGTCCAGCTATGTTTTTGCGGGATCCCTGCCTCTGCAGGCATTTAAGATGGCAATATCAGGCTAGGCAGGAGTCAGAGGGCTTCCTCCTTGCCTCCAGCTTCCATCTTCTCTTTCCCATCTTGCACTGTTACTCGAAATCCCCTCCTCCTCCTCCTCCCCGCCCCCCAAGTTCTTTGTAGCTATGCTTTTACTTCTGCTCCATCTTGTACAGAAACTCTTTGAAGAGCAGCTGAAGAAGTATGACCAGATCAAGGTCTACTTGGAGCAGAACCTGGCTGCCCAGGAGAACATCCTCAAAGCTCTGACCGATGCCAACGTCAAGTATGCTGCCGTACGCAAAATCCTGGCTGAGGTGGAGCACAAGTGAGTGAGGGAAGTGGGTGGGATGAGGAACCGCTTCTGCTGGTGGCAGTAAGCGTGGCTGGTCGGAAGGAGCCGTAAGCTCTTTCTGGGGAACTGCTCTCGCAAGAATCAGGAGAACAGAGCCAGAGTTACGTTTGCTGCACTATTCTTAGAGGTCTCCAAACGAAGGCCAACGAAATGGCCCCCTTTGAGGGTGGTGGCTGCGGTGCTGGTAGCTTCAGTGGCCCTTTGTGTTATTTGATCACTCTTACAAGTCTGCTTAAGAGCTGCCCTCAGTGGAAGTCTCACTGAGTTTGCAGAAACAAGAAAAGAGCAATACCTTGGTAAAAAGCTATAGAAAGTGAGTATAAACAAGTTTATATTATAACATGGCAGAGAAAATCACTTCTGGTGTTGGGAAAGTGAAGAGAGAAGTTTTTTTCAGTGCCGTCCCTTAAGGCTAATTGCAGGGAGATTCAGGACTGGCAGAAGGAGGTCCTGCACACAGTTAATCTGCGTACAGGCCGTCCCCAGGTTAAGAACAAGTTCCATTCCTAACTCTGTCTTTAACTCGAATTTGTATATAAGTTGGAACTCGTACATACAAACGGGCTGCCTGTTACTAAAAATGGTTGTCCTTCCTCGAGCCGATGAACTGCTGAAGCCGTGTGATGCTTTCAGGAACCGCTGAAAATGGGCTGTATATTAAAAACATGTGGCTTCAGCAGTTCCTGAAAGCATTGCGCGGCTTCAGCAGTTCGTTTGCTCGAAGAAGGACAACGCCGTTTGCCGTTTTTAGTAACAGGCAGTCCATTCGTATCTAGGGGTTGTCCTTCAGTCAAACGTTCTTAACCCAGGAACTGCCTGTAATCCAACAGTAGCCATCCACAGGGTCTCGCTCCAGGGTCTCGCACAACCATCCTTGGCAGACAATTTGGGTGGTGTCAAAAAGGGGCTGCCCGGATTTCTGCAGACCCTCAATTGGCTGCTAATAAATAATAGCTGTTCTCTGTCTCCTGGCCCCTGGGAAGCAGGCCTGAAATACCAGAGAAGGGCAGTAAAAAGGGATTTTGTCTTCTGGTCCAGGCTTCTGAGCTTCCCAAATGCATCCAGTTGGTGCTGTGACCCACAGATGACTAGATTGGATGAGCCAAAGGGCCTGCCCAGCCTCAGGGCCCTTCTGATGTGCAACAGACACATAGACACACACACACAGGGCACGTCCTGTCTGTCATCTGTGGGAGGGAAGCCTTTTCTACCCAGCTCAGTCATGCCCCTCTTCTCTCCTCCCACTCCCCCCTCCCCAGGTGGAACACGACCCTACAGACTCTGGTGGCTTCCTATGAGGCTTACGAGGACCTGATGAAGAAATCACAGGAGGGCAAAGAGTTTTATGCCGACCTCGAGAGCAAAGTGGCGAAACTCCTGGAGAAAGCCCAGGCTGCCTGTAAAGTAGCTGAAGGGAACCGGCAGCAGATTTTGGAGAAGTAAGTGGCCCCTTACAGACGCGCGCCCTGGATTTCTTCAAGAGGGTTAGAACAGTGTTTCTCAAGCTTGGCCACTTGAAGAGGTGTGGACTTCAACTCCCAGAATTCCCCAGCCAGCCAGTTGAAGTCCACACCTCTTCAAGTGGCCAAGCTTGAGAAACGGTGCCCTGGGGTATCATTGGAGGAAGACAAAGAGTGAAGCGCGTGCAAGATCCCTCGTCGGGGATTACTTGGCAGCAATAAGAGCTGTTTTTCTGCCCTGATCACGACTGCCAGGAGCCATCCAGCGACCATGGGCCGCTGTGAAGAATATTTGAAGTATTTGGCAGGGGAGGTCGCTCAGGTTCACTCAGAACTGGCCTCGATATGCTTTGCTGGGAGGAGTCTGAGTATGAGGCTCTGGGGGAAATGCACAGGGTCCTCAGGAGGGCTAACCTGGCCCCCATTCGGTTGGATCCATGGTTTGTTAGATTTATATCCTGCCCTTCCTCCATGAACTAACGGTGGTATATCCCATGACGTTTCCGGAGGTAGGCCGGGCTGGGAGAGTTTCCCTGCTGAGGCTGCTAGTCCAGCCCCACAGTTCCCGTGCTTGTTCCAACAGAGAAATGAAGAGGAAGCCTCCCCCCCGGCCCACCACCCCCAAACCGGCCTTGCAGAAGAAGGCTTCAGACGCGGAGCTGGCCGGC